TTTTTAAAGTCAGATTTCACTGTAGATAATAGGATTTAGGGTACTGTGTTCAGTGTTGCAATCGAATTTGGACAGCTAATGAATATTCACTGTCACTTTCTATTCACCGTATCTTCCAGCTTCCCTCTGGGTTTTTATCTAAGTGTTTCCTAAAATTAATACATGCTATGCCTAGCCTTCATCTATAAGTAGAATTTACAAACACATTGTAAATTTTAAACAGAGGGGGCCAAACCCCACTGCTTTAAATTGAGACTGAAATTACGTGATTTCTATTATTATTGCCAAAGTTTTTCAAAGAAAAAAAAATCAGCTCTAAATGCTCTAACTGTAACCTGCAGTCTCGGAAAAAAATTTGTGACTGCTGTTGACTAAATAATGAAAATAAAGTATTTGAAAAAGTTTAAGAAATTACTGCTATTTATAAGTAGCTGCAGTTAAGCAACTGATTTTAGCAGTCTTGGATTTAGGAAGATGAGAATAGGACTGAATTTGATCTAGAAAAAATAATTTCAACCCTTGGGAATAAAATCCTTCTTTATATGCAAAGGATGTTCTCCAGAATGGGGAACCATCTAACAAGAGACCATTTTTAGAAAAAAATACACTGTTATGAGCAAAATTTTTGCAATGAAAATGAATAATTTTTTTGCATTATATGTGGTCCCGATTGAGTTACTACTATCTGATTAGTCAAGAAAAAGTGAGAACTAACTTCAAAGTTGCATACATGAGTACTTATGGGAAATGAATGACAGATCTGCTCAGCCAAACATGAATGTTAGAGTAATGCTGCCTTAGGCAAGAAATGGAAACTAGACACAGCTTGTTATATGAGCAACCCCTATTAGGTAATATAGCTTATGATTCAAATGCTGTGAATGCTATTTTTACGATTAAGAAAAAAGATATTTATCATTTGCCTTTAAATATTGCATAGCTTCAAGCAAAATGATCTGTCCATGGGTGTTTTATGGTCCAAAGATATGAACAATTTTATAATTTCATGTCAACTGTTGATGTTGTTTAAATGAAAACATCAATAAGATTGAAAAAAGAAAATCATTTTTTAGGTGTTTTCTGCTTGAGATATAAGGGTAAAACTTTTTAGATTAGAAATTGTTATCCATCTTCATAGTATGCTTTCGGAGCACCCCTCTCCTGCTGTGACAGAGGGATAGTTTGATGTTAGGAACTCAAAAAATGGGATTCAGTTTAGAACTCTGCCATGAATTTCATAAGTGGCATTGGACAAATCCCCTCAATCTGAATCACACTTCACTTTTCCTTCTGGAGCAGAAAGGATTTAGTCTTGCTGTCTCTTCTTATTGGTAAAATAAGCACATAAAAACATGAAGTTCATGTATACTATAGTTAACAAAATAAAAGAGGGAAGATCATGAGAGAACGTGAACAAAACTATGTGGGTTTGGATGAGGAATGCCAGGGTGAAGTGCTGGCTTACTTTGGTGTGATGCTGCACTGTTTTCAAAACCAACTCTGGCCCAGCTTTAGCAAAGATACAGAGCCCACCAAACCTGCTTCATTCTACTCACCACAGTACATTTGACAGTATTAGTATTGCAGTTGCATGGATGTGCAGCCGCTCACTTCCCTCCTTTAGGTCCTGGGGCTGGGTCCAGTGTACACTGGCATCCTCAGAGGCCTCTCAAGTGATCCAGGTGTCCCCATTACTCCAGTCACCAGTTGTTCTGGCAACAGAGCTGTTTATGAAGCTGCCTTTGTAGGAACTGAATAGAGCCCCTGCAAATGAGTAATGGTCCTTCTTTGGTGTAGTGCTGAACTCATATTTCGAACATTTGGTTCTTTTCAGAGGAGTGTTATTCTTTTTTGTTAATCTAAAATAAGTCATTACAGGAGGCATACACAGAAGAAAATGTTTTAGTCTCTGTATGGAAGCAAAGCAGGTACCTACTTGTGAAGTTGAAATTATGTAGCTTTTGATGGATATCTCAGTTAAACTTGGGAGACAGCTGCTCAAAACAAATGTGTATATGAGCTGTGCTTACAAGTTGTGCAACCCCCCAGAAATATTGACGAGAAATGTAATTCTGAAAGGGACAATGGCAAGTAAGTAAAAACTGGAGATGAAATAAAAATGTTTCTCTGGATATAATGCCCCTGTGTAACTATCAAGAGAAAAATGAGCATGGGGAAAGGGCATTTTTGTAATAATTTATGGTCACTGATATATTTTTCCTTGTAGAGCACAAGGTAATTTTTTTCCTATAGAGATATTTTATAACATGATTAACAGTGAAAGGATTTAAGTGTAACTTGCCACCTTTTCAATTAAGAGGTTCCTGCATTAAGGTGGTGTTGGTTTGTTTTTCCACAGAGTATTGAATAGCTTCATGTTGGTGTGCTGATATTAAAAATGAAGCAAAGTCATGTAATTAATGTTATTGTTGGTATTCTAACAGAAATGCTTAAAGCTCCTAGTCAGTATGGCAAGTAGAGCTGATGTACTTTTAAAATGAAACAAGGACTATTGTCAGTTGTGTTGCAAGGGGGGAGAAGATAGGCAGAGGTATTTTAAAAATATAACACATGCCTTTTTTTTTTTTTTTTTTTTTTTT